CCTCCTCCTCCTCCTCCTCCTCCTCCTCCTCCTCCTCCTCCCCCACGGAGAGCGGCACAGCACAGACCTTCCGGGTGGGACAACAGATGCCGGCATTGCTGCTCGTTCTGGAGAGCCTTCGTCTCGACGAAGAGAAAACGCCGTAAACATAAGCTTTCGACGTTCCGCGCAGAGGGAGAGGGGGTTGGGGGGAGGGGTGAGGGCTTCTTAGAAGCAACCCTTGCCTTCTTTGAAGGCGCAGCGGGCGGGCCTTCTCTATAGATGTCAGGGCCTGAGTCGCCTTCTAAGAAGCAGCCTCCTTCTAAGAAGCCCTCCCCCCTCCCCCCACCCCCTTGTGCGCGCCGCCAACTTTCGACGCTCCGCGCGGTCTTCTTGGATCTGCGCTGGAGCGCCCTGGCGGCGCCTCCGGCGCCACCTCTGGCGCGCTCCGCGCGCCTGAGAGGGGGGTCCGGCGCGGATCCAAGAAATCCGCGCGGACCTCCAGAAGTGTATGTTTGTGTGGTTGACGCTGCTGGATCATCCTCGAAGTTTTGGTTCGGGCGCGCCCCAAGATGGCTCGGGGAGTGGCGAGAATGTCAAAGAAGAAAATGCGGCATAAACACGGGATCACAAATTTCCGCTTAGGTGTCCTCCTCTCCCCACGGGAGAGAGAGGAGAAAGGGTGAGGACGACGAGGAGGACGAGGACAACGACGACGAGGAGACGGGTGAGGCGGAAGGGAAGGGGGCTTTCAAAAGGAAGGAGAAGGAGAAGAAGAAGAAGAAGAGGAAGGATAATACTAAAAGCTAGAAGGATAAGAAGAACAACGAACGGCATAAACATGCATGTTCACAGGTCCGTGCAGAGTTCCTGGGTCGGCGCTGGGCCCCCAATCGCGGCGCTTCCGGCGCCGCCCCATGTCGCGCTCCGCGCGCCAGATGGTGGGGTCCAGCGCCGATCCAAGAAAGCTGCGCGGATCTCCGAACGTTTGTGTTTGTGCCATGGTCAGTTCCTTCGGAGGTGACCGTGCGGTACGACCTGGACCGCCTGAGCGAGCTGGGCACCCTTGGGCACGGCGCGTTCGGCTCCGTGCGGCTAGTGAGGGACGCCGCGACCGGCCAGGTCATGGCGCTGAAGTCGGTATCCAAGGGCATGGTGGTGGAGGCGGGCCTCCAGGAGCTCGACAGGGCGCAACTCGAGGGAGAAAGACTGCAGACAGTGGAGGCCCATGCCAAGACACACCCTGCTTGCCTCCACGGTGCCCTGGGTGTCTTGGCTTCCGATGGTTTTGCGATGGAAAGCGTGACGTTCCCACACCAGCAACCGATTGACGTCCTGGGATCTCAGGGTTGGGTATATTGTTAAGTCGGGCCTGTCCCTTTACAGGGGGGATATTCAAAAATAGTGAAAAAAATGTCTGGGGACTACTTCTTTAGTATTTTGGGACTTTTTTTTGCGCATTTTTCCCGACCTAGGATCTGCTGCCTAGAAGGGTTCTTACCGTGTTGGTTTAAAGGGCTGGGCAGTGTTCCGCGCCCCGGGCGGTTCCCCCAGGATCCGCCCCGCGGTTCCCCCAGTTGTGCCCCCTGGGTTCACCCAGCTTAGCTTAGCTAATCTTAGTTTAGCTTAGCTTAGCTTAGCTTAGCTTAGCTCATCTTGGCTTCGCTTAGCTTAGCCTAGCCTGGCCTAGCTTAATTCAGCTTAGCTTAGCATAGCTGACCTTAGTTTAGCTTTGCGCAGCGCAGCATAGCGCAGCGGAGCATTAGCACAGCATAGCATAGCATAGCATAGCCAAGCATAGCATAGCATAGCTCTGCATAGCAGAGCATATCATAGCATAGCGCAGCATAGCATAGCATAGCACAGTATAGCATAGCATTGCTTAGCATAGCACAGCGCAGCATAGTATAGCATAGCACAGCATAGCATAGCATAGCGCAGCATAGCATAGCATAGCATAGCATGGTATAGCATCGCATATGGCAAACAACAGCAAAAGCAAAAGCAAAGGCAAAGGCAAACGCAAAGGCAAGAGCAAACGAAAAGGCAATGCACAGCAAAAGCAAAACCAATGCGAACGTGTAGATGTAGATGTAGCTGTAGCTGTAGCTGTAGCTGTAGATGTAGATGTAGATGTAGATGTAGATGTAGATGCAGGTGTAGGTGTAGATGTGGATGTAGGTGTAGGTGTAGGTGTAGGTGTAGATGTAGATGTAGATGTAGGTGTAGATGTAGATGTAGATGTAGGTGTAGATGTAGGTGTGTATGTAGATGTAGATGTGAGCCTCGCTATTGATTTTGATGTTGATGTAGATGCAGGTGTAGATGTAAATGTAGCTGTCGGTGTAGATGTAGATGTTGCTTTCCTAGAGGCTCCAACTCCTAGGTAGGGTCGCACTGGGATAATTCAATGTTTCGTCGAAATGCCCCTGTAGGGGGACAGGCCCGACTTAAGTCTATTGTGGAAGGTTTCTTGTGGTCGAGCCCCTGCCGTCTGCTCCTCGATGGGGTACGCAAGACTCCGGTCTGCTGGAGTTCGGGCCCTCCGCCGCCTCCTCCCCTCCTCCTCCTCCCCCTTCTCCTCCTCCTGGCGGCCCCAGCATCTGAGCTCTGACGCCCCATCTTTCGCCAGGCGTCTGCAGAGGGGGCTCGCGCCAAGCTGCAGACTGCAGGAGGCATGTGACGTAAGGTCATCGGCCCGCCAGCAGGTGTCCCGCGGAAGCCTCTCGGCCCCGAAGGGCGCCGGGCTCACAGAAGCCTTGCGGCACCACAGGAAGATCGAGTGTCGACGTAGAGCGTGCCCAGATGGGCATTCTCGCATGGTGTCTGGTCGGATATCTCTGCAGTGAAGGCTGCCACTGTTCTGGCGGCGCCGTGAGGCCAGCTCGAGTCCCTCCCGAGCTCGGGTCGTGCGTCTCCCCGGCAGGAGGCCGTCAGGGCCGAGAAGGAGGTCATGCAGGCCACCGACAGCCCCTTCCTGGTGAAGCTGGCCGCGTGCTTCGACAGGGACCAGGATCGGGGCTCTCGGAGAAAAGCAGTGTCATACGAGGGCCGCCCGTGTGTCAAAAGAGGGCAAGGTGAGACAGCGGTGGTTAGCCTTCCCGACGCAGCTCGGAGAATCGGTGCATTTGGACCCCGCGAGGTTTCGGGGGACCGATTTCGAGTTGCCGTTGTCTCAGCACGCCCTGCTGCAAGTGTGGTCACTTCGACAGCCAGCGGCGCGCCTCGCAGCGCGATGGCAGCGAGGCTGCTGGAGGGGTCTGGATTCCGATGTGGCGCGCGTCACGCGCGCGCCTAGGGGCCTCCTCCAATCACCCCCCCGCCCGGTACACAGTCGGGGCGCTGAAGAAGGAACCCTTTGCGTTGGGGAGGGGCTCCGTGTTCCTTCCTTGTCTCACAGTTTGCCTTCGGTTTTCCTTGGGTCGTCGATGGGAAGTCGAAGTTGAACCTGTGGAAAAAGGGGCCTCGTTCCTTATTCCCAGACATCCGCCTGCTCCAATTTCTCTGGACCCAGGAGGTCTGGACCAATTCCACGGGACCAGTTTTTCGTCCTGAATCGTTTTTTGACGCTCCCGAGGCCCGGCGAGGGCCCCCCGGAGGCCGAAAACTGCTAAAAAACGCCTGCTCCAATTTCTCTGGAGCGCCGGATCTCAGGGTCTAGGGCTCCTTGGGTCAACGCCCCGACTGCACTGTCGCATGCTCACCAGGCCCGTATATGCGGGAGAGGGGGTGCCCCGAGGCGGGGCTGCAGGGAAGGAGCCCTCGGCCCGGGGGCCCTCGGCCCGAGCTGCCAGCAGTGCCTGGGCCCCGCCGCCCGGCGCGCGGGCCGGCAGAGAGCCGGGCCTCGGCGGCAGGCTCGGAATCGACCAGACGTATACGGAGTGACCTTTCGCCCGGAGTGACCTGTGGTGCGGGCCCCGCTGGGCCCCCAGGTGGCCGAAAACGGAGCAGGAGCAGCGGCTGGCGTGCCCAGGTGTGGTCCCCCCGCGGCCCCCCAGATCACCGCCCGCCAAACCATCCCAACCCAACCCGAGGGCCTCAAATGGACCTCCATTTCCAGTCGGGGGGGGGGGTCGGGGAACATCGAGAAAACGCTTATGGAACTCGTACCCCCCTAACCCGAAATTCGGGTCTTCGGGTTGGGTTGGGGTGGTCTGGAAGGTAGTCGCCCAAAAGCCGCGCACCAAAGGTCACTCTTACCCAGGGCTACTCTTGCGCACAGCCGGCCGGGCCCGGCCGCTCGGCGCGCTGGCCAGCAGAGAGCCGCGGGCCTTGGCGGCCGGCTTCGGAGGAGGAAAACCACATAAACCTAATTTTTTTGGCGCTCCGCGCGGATTGCTTGGATCTGCGCGGGGACCCCCCTCCTTGGCGCGCGGAGCGCGCCAGGGGCGGCGCCGGAGGCGCCGCCGGGGGGGGGCCCAGCGCAGAGCCAAGAAATCCGCGCGGAGCGCCAAAAGTTTGTGTGAATGCCGTTGTTTCTTCTTCCTGTTATTATTCTTCTTTTCACTGACATTATTTGGTAGTATTCTTCTTCTCCTCCTCCTCCTCCTCCTCCTCCTCCTCCTCCTTCTTCTTCTTCTTCTTCTTCTTCTTCGTCTTCGTCTTCGTCTTCGTCTTCTTCTTTTTCTTCTAAGGTTGGGCGCACGTGAGCCCAGAGGCCTCCTAGGGTCGCCTGCAGGCGAACCTGACCTCCAGGTGGCCCGTCGGGCGGGCTGGCCCGCCCGGCTGGCCGTCGGTCGCGGCCGCGGGCGCTGCATCGGCCTCGCTGGCCTCGCTGGCCCGATGTGCCTCTGACCTTCATAGTGTTCCAACCTACTTTGGCCTGCATTGCCAGAAGGAGCTTCGAGCACCAAGGAAGTTGGAAACTGGAACATTTACATTACCAGTGGCGGGCTGTGTTTCAATCCCAGGACTCTTTGAGGCTCGGGGACGACGCTGGGGGGGGTATGGTGTATACTTTTTTCTTCGATGTCCTGGGGGAACAACGAAACATGTATACACCGGGGTCCCGTATGCACCAGGATCTGCTCTCCAGTGCAAATCTCAGTGCAGGGCCGGAGAAAAATGTCGGTGTATAGAGTTCGATTCCCAAGGAAGTACCGCAATTGGGGGGTCGTCACGGGTCGGGCCCCGGGAGGCGGTACTCGTTCGTCATTGTTTCGGTACGCTTCGGGGTGCTGGAAATGATGTGTGGGACCTGGTCCTTAAGCACGGTGGGAGCAGCATAACTCTGACCCCACGTCTGACCCTTCCCATCCTCCCCTAGGCCCCCTCGCGTCTTGAAAAAAATACGGCGCGAAGGTTTTTGGCTGATTTCGGCCTCTGGGGGCCATCATTGGGCCCAGGGACCGTCAGAGAACGACTCGGGACGAAAAGCCCGTTCCCTGGCAGGGGTCAAGAAAGCACGACGTCGGGGGGTCTGGCTTTCCGCCCCCCCGACAGGAGTTGTTCTTCTTGCTGGAGCCGGCAACAGGCGCCACCTCCCTCATCCGACGGGGAAGGGAGGGTCGTCCAGAGTAAGCCAAGGGTGCATATCAGCGACTTTGCAATGCGCCGTCCCGTCCCGAGCCCCCACCTCACGAGTCCCTGCAAGCCGCCCTTCTCCCACGGAGCGCCCCACGGGCGTGCCATTCTGGCGAGGGCCCCGTTTCGAACAGAGAGTGTCTGCTGCATCCCTCTGGCTGGCCCACGGGAGCTCGACGAGGCAGGATCACAAAAGTTCCACGAGGTGTCCTCATTGAAGGCGGGGGAGAGGGGTGGACGGGATGACCCTCCTCCCCCTCCTCCTCCTCCTCCTCCGCCTCCTCCTCCTCCTCCTCCTCCTCCTCCTCCTCCTCCTCCTCCTCCTCCTACTTTATGATCAATACAGCAAATTCCAAGGGGTGTCCAGCGAGAGCCCTATGGCAGCGTCTCAGGCGCTCGCCACTGCAAGTCACAGCGGGGGGGGGCACCCGCTCTCCTCCTGAGGATGGTGAGGGTCGGGGGCCGCTGGCTGTCTTTGGCACGGTTGGGCGCCGGGAGGCTGTGGGGGGCCTGGGGTGGTCCTGAGGGGTCCCCTCTTCCTCGAGGAGGTGGCGACCCCCCCCTCCTCTCCTCCTCCTCCTCCTCCTCTTCTCTTCCTCCTCTGCTCCTCCTCCTCCTCCTCCTCCTCCTCCTCCTCCTCCTCCTCCTCCTCCTCCTCTCCTCCTCCTCCTTCTCTGCTCCTCTCCTCCCCCCTCCTCTCCTCCTGATGCTCCTCCTCCTCCTCGCCCCCCCCCCCCCCGAGTGGTGACCCCCAGTGGCACCGCCTGAGAGCAGGAGGAGCAAGAGGACGACTACAAGAAGAAGAAGAAGAAACAGAAAGAATCAGAAGAGCAGGCTGCCTTCGTCCCTGGAGCTGGCCACCGCCGCCAGTCGTCGTCAGTCGACGAAGGTGGGGACGACGAAGACGGCGGCAGCGGCGGCGAAGGCGGCGAAGGCGAAGGCAAAGGTGGTGGCGGCGGCGGCGGCGGCGGCGGCGACGACGACGACAGGCGGCGACCTCTACACGATTTACCGCTGGAGAAACTTCTTCGGGTTCGAGGACCACGCCCGCTTCTACATGGCCTGCATGGCGTGTGCCTTTGCGCACCTGCACGGCCGCGGGATCTTGTACCGCGACCTCAAGATGGAGAATGGCATTCAAACGAATACCAATGACTTCACAATCCCCCCCCAACCTCAAGCCCGCGATCTTCGATCCTGAGCCTCCCCTCCTCCTCCCCTCCCCCTCCCTGCCTCCGCCTCAACCTCCCCATCCTCCTCTCCCTCCTCCTCTCTATCCTCCTGGTCATCCACCCCCATCCACCATCCCTCTACCTTATAAGTAACTCCTCCCTTTCATACTCCCAGGCGTGTCGGTAGGGCGGGCCGGGCGTGTCGACTGATATTCCCGCACCCTGTATGACCCTGAAGTTTAACATTTGTAACAGCTTTACGGATGGAGGGCGGGCAGTTGTCAAATACTTGTATCACCTTAGCGCCGCGCACGATCGCTTTCAAAGCTTGCAACAGCTTCAGGACTGGATGACTCTCGCCGTAGCGCCGCGCACATTCGTCTTCAAAGTTTGCAGCAGTTTCACGGATGGGGAGCTGGTGGTTTCCAACATGTGATTCTCGCAGTAACGCCGCGCACGTTCGTCTAAAAAGTTTGCAACAGCTTCAAGGATGAAGGGCGGTTCTTTTTCAAAAGTGTGATGTTCGCCGTAGCGCCGCGCACATTCGTCTTACAAGCTTGTCACAGTTTCAAAGATTCGTATGGCCGAAGTCCCAGGAATGCTATTCTTGAGTGATTTATGGATTGGTCAGGACGCGATACTCATGTTGATTCGCGGCGTTGAAGTCACAGGAACGGTGCTGTGGCACGATGTAGGATTGCCCGGACGCAACTGTCACGTTGATCCGCGGCTTGGAAGTTCCAGGAACGGCCTTTGGCACGATTGAGGATTTTGAAACCGTTGTTTTCCAATGAGCCACTTGCCGGCTTGTTTGAGGAACCTGCGAAAAGAGAGTTTAGAGGGAGGGTTGATTGCAACAGTTTTGATGCGTATTGGAATTACACCGGTCTTCCTCCTCCTCCTCCACCTCCTCCTCCGCCTCCTCCTCCTCTTCCTCCTCCGCCTCCCCCTCCTCCTGCTTTATCCTCCTGTTCATGCTCCTGCTCCTCCTCCTCCTCATCCTCATCCTCATCCTCATCCGCCTCCTTCTCTTTCCGTTTCCCTTGCAATGTGGGTCCTCCCTATCGCACCACCAGACACGTCTGTAGGGCGGGTCAGGTGTTTCGCGTGAGATTTCCTTATACTTGGTGATCCTGCAGTTTGAAAGTTGCAACAGATTCAATGATGAAATAGGGGTCGTTTTCAAATGTTGTCTCTCGCCGTTGCGCCACGTAATTACATGCGTTCAATCAGCTTGCAACAGGTTCTAGGATAGAGGGCAGATCGTTCGCAAAATGTGACTCTCGGTTTTGCGCCGCGCACATTCGTTTCAAAAGCTTACAGCAGCTTCAAGGATGGGGTGCGAGTCGTTTAAAAATATGGCTCTCACATAGCGCCAGGTAGATGCCTTCAGAGCTCGCGACAGCTTCAAGGACGAAGGGTGGCTCCTTTTCGAAACATGGCTCCCGCCTGAGCGCCACGCACATCCATTCTAAAAGCTTGCAACACGTTCGAAGTGCCGTATGGCGAAAGTCCCAGGAATGGTGCTCTGGCACGATTTAGGACTGTTCGGACGCATGTGTCACGCGCATTCGCAGCGTCAAAACCCAAGAAACGGTGCCCTGGCACGGTTTAGGATTACCAGAACGCAATAGTGATGCTGATCTGCGGCGTCTAAATCCCAGAAGTTGCGTTTTTACACGATTGGGGATTCTCAAACAATTATCTTCCAAGGGCGCATTTCCCGCAACGAGCATTCATTCTTGAAGGGGCCTACGAAGAGGGAGGTTCGAGGGAGGGCAGAACGGGTCCTCCTCCTCCTCCTCCTCCTCCTCCTCCTCCTTCGTGATCTTCCTCCTCCTCCTCTTCACATCCTCCTCCTCCTCCTCCTCCTCCTCCTCCTCCTCCTCCTCCTCCTCCTCCTCCTCAGGTCCCTGCTCCTCCTCACCACCCCGAGGGAGCGAGGGAGGAGGGCGCGAGGGAAGGGGCGGCTCGCGGGCCCCCGCGGTCGGCCGCCCGCGGGCGGGGGGCGGGCGCCGGGGCCGGGCGGAGCGGACGGAGAGGACGCGCGGCGGAGGGCTGTGAGCCGCCCGCCCACCCCCGTAGAGGCGCTCGCGCGTGCGCGCGAGGCAAGGAGCGGAGGAGGGGGGAGAGAGGGAGAGAAGGGAGAGGGGGGGGGGTGGAAGAAGACCAGCCACAGCGTCGATGGAGGAGGAGGAGGAGGAGGGAGGAGGAGGGAGGAGGAGGAGGAGGAGGAGGGGGAGGAGGAAGACGTGGAGGAGGAGGAGGTCGACGACGGCGAGTACGAATGCGAACGCGAATGCGTGTTCGAATGCGACGGCCACGGCCGCGACCATGACGCCCTGAGAATCGAGGACCAAGGCTTTCGGATGCCGTTCGCACGGGCCTGGGGCCCCGGGGGCTCCTCGCCGGATTCCTTTCCGAGATGCTGGCCAGGGCGCACCCCAGCAGGGCTCTGGGGCCCGATGTTTTGGACCCCCTCGATCTTCGTCCCTCCCCCAGCGCCCTGCTGCTCCTAATCCTCCTCCTCCTCCTCCTCCTCCTCCTCCTCCTCCTCCTCCTCCTCCTCCTCCTCCTCCTCCTCCTCCTCCTCCTCCTCCTGCTCCCCGTCCCTGCCCCCGAGAGGCACCCACTTCGCTGGGTGCGCCCCCAGTGCGCGCGGCGGCTCCTCCCCGCCTCCACGTCTCCCCCCCCCCGCGGGCTCGCTCTCGGCCTCCGCGGCAGGAGGGGCCGGGGCCTCTCCCGGTGGGGCCGGGTGGGGGTGTGCGAAAGGGGGGTGCTCCGGGCTGGCGCTGCTTGCTCCGACCGCCCCGAGTGGGGGCCACTTGAGACAGCGGCGGCCCTGCCGCCAAGCCCAAATCAGCTCCGACTCGGTCCCCAGCGCCTCCCAGGGTCGATGTTGGCCAGTTTTCCGAAGCGGGCCCAGCCATGGCGACGAAAAGCTTCCAGGAGCCTCAGACAGGACGAAAAGCGCCATGGGTTGCCGCCGTTGTCTCGATCGGCCCTCCTCCGATAACTAGACTTCATCCCTGACGCAGATGGCACGTGCCGATCCCTGCCCCCAAGCGGTAGGCGGCGACAACGGCCGCGGAGCCCCCAAGGAGAACGTGGTGTTGGACTCCCGGGGCTACGCGAAGCTCTGCGACTTCGGGACCTCCACCTTTGCCGACCGGGCTTTCACCATGTGCGGCACCCCAGAGTACATGGCGCCAGAGGTCTCACCCTCCTCGTCCTCGTCCATCTCCTCCTCCATCTCCTCCTCCTCCTCCTCCTCCTCCTCCTCCTCCTCCTCCTCCTCCTTGTTATGGCCCCGCGCGCCTAGCGGTCTAGATGGTGGGTGAGTGGTTCTCCTCATACTGATCATCATCATAAGCAGCAGCAGCAGCAGCAGCATCAGCATGACCATCATCACCACCAGCGTCATCATCAGCATCATCATCGTAATCGTCATCGTCATCGTCAGTGGTCATCGTCATTGTAATTACCACCATCATCATCATCATCATCAGCAGCAGCATCGTCATCACCATCCTCACCAGTATCATCGTCATCATCATCAGCATAATCAGTATCATCATCATCATCAGCAGCAGCAGCATCATCATCATCATCGTCATCATCGTCATCATCGTCACTATCACCATCATCATCATCATCATCATCATCATCATCAGCATCATCATCGCAATCGTCGTCATCATCTTCAGCATCATCAGCATCATCCTCATCAGCAGCAACATCATCAGCATCATCAGCATCATCATCCTCATCATCATCACCCGTTGCCATGCTGTCGCAAGTGCTCCGGCGATCCCGCGGCGGCCGCCGCATGTGCGCGCTTCTCTGCTGCTCAGCCATGAGCTTGGCAGCCTCTCAATCGACGCCCTGTCGGCGTTCTCCCCCGGAGTCCTGGCCATGCTCGCCATGGCCACTAACGTCACGCTGCAGTGGACGGTGCTGACATACTTCTCGGTGCTCGTTGCGCGGCTGGCTCATGCTGCTGCCCCTCCGTGCTCGGCGACCACCTCGTTTACGACTTCGGGTGGGCCTCGCACCTTCGCGCTCGACATCGCGTTGTTTGGCTCGGCGCCCTGCCCCGTTGTGTGCGACATGCTGTCTTGCACTTCCTTCGGTTTCGATTAAACCCTCCTCGATGACGTCGTCTGCGGACGATAGTGACCCGATAACCCCACCCCGCCCAGGACGTGCGGATCCGCTATCGGGGGCCTTTCGCCAATCTATCGGCGATGCATCGCCGATTCCAGGTCCATGCTTCCCTCCCATATGCCTGTCCCCACCTATATTTGCCCCTGGAGTGCGGGTGGTTTTCAAAATGTGGCTCTCGCCTTAGCGCCGCGCACATTCGTTTTCAACATGTGCAAAAGCTTCACAGATGGAGGGCGACTAGTTTTCAAAATGTGGCTCTCGCCTTAGCGCCGCGAGCATTCGCTTCAACAATCTACCAAGATTTCAAAGAATGAGGGTGGGTCGTCTTTAAAATGCGGTTCTCGCCTAGGTGCCGCATCCTTCGTCCTCAAAATTACTAGAGCTTCACATGGAGGGCGGTTCCGTTTCAAAATGTGGTTCTCGCCTCAGCACGGCGCACATTCCTTTTAAATTGTTGCAGGCGTCAAGCGTTTCACGGGACCTCATGGCACACGTACCAGAAATTGCGTTTTGGAACGGTTCAGGGTTATCAGGGCACAATTGTTACTTTGGTTCGCGGTGCTGAAGTCCCAGGAACAGTTTTCTGCCACGGTTGAGGATCGTCATGCGCAACAGTCATGTTGATTCGAGGCGTTGAAGTCCCGAGAATGGTGTTTGGGCACGCTTCAGGATCTTCAAACAGTTGTCTCCCGACGGGGCATTGCCCTCAGTGGAAAGGAATCTTTGTAGGGGCCTATACAGAAGAAGCTAGGAGGGGGAGCCTTTTGCTCAACATCGTTAGTTAATGAATATTGGGTTTGCACTGGTCCTCCTCCTCATCATCATCCTCATCCTCATCCTCATCCTCATCATCCTCCTCCTCACTCCTCCTCATCATCCTCCTTTCCTCCTCCTTCTCCCCCTCCTCCCCCTCCTCATCCTCATCCTCCTCCTCTTCCTCCTCCTCCTCCTCCTCCTCCTCCTCCTCCTCCTCCTCCTCCTCCTCCTCCTCATCCTTCCCCTCCCTCCGCCACTCCCTCCCCCCCGGCGGCTGGGCAGGTCTTCTCCGGGAGCGGCCACGGGCCTGCGGCGGACTGGTGGACCCTCGGGGTGATGTGCTTCGAGATGATGACGGCGCGAACCCCCTTCGTCGACGACGAGCCGATAGAAATACTGCGGCGCTGAGCGCGAGCACGGCCAGAAAACTTGGACACACTCAGAGATCCGACGCTCCAAAAAAAAAAGGAGCAGGCGGTTTGGGTGTATTTTCGGACTCTGGGGGCCCTCGCTGGGCCTCGGGAGCGTCAAATAATGACTCAGGGCGAAAAACCGGCCCTGGGGAAGTGGTCAGGACTTCTGGGGCGCACGCATCGGAAAAAATGGAGCAGCCGGATGCTGGGGCACGCTGTCGGGTTTTGGGGGGCGATGTGCAGGCGGATTGGGAATTGCTCGGCCTCCAGGGGCCCTCACTGGGCCCCGGAGGGCCCCAGAGGCCGCCGAGAGACGACTCGGGATGAAAAGTCCGTCCCAGGGAAGTGGTCTAGACCTCCAGGGCCTCCAGGGTTCCACTTCGCGAGAAAAACACAAGGGGGCAGGATGTGTCCGCTGGAGGAGGTGCGAGAGGACTGCGGAGTGAGGCTTCGCGTGTGCCCTTTCCTTCTCTTTCCCTCCTCTCCAAAATTGCGCTGGAAAAAAAAAACTTCGCGAGAAAAACACGACGGGTACACCGAACGAGGGATGCGGTCAGCAACGTTTGCTCAGCGCGTCGCTCTGCCGGTTCTAGCCTACCACTCTCTCCGGCGCGACACGCTGGTCGCATCATGGTTCCCAGGCGGCAGTTGTCCAAGCTCTTCCCAGTCTCCTGACATCGCTCGGACGTGTGCATTTTTTCTCGGCGAGGACCATCGAGGAGCATCTTTGATCATTTAGCGAAAAATATGCGCACGAAGTCGAAAAAATGCACGGGGAATGGACGTCCGGGCGACGGCGAGGTCTCCCGCCCCGCAGAGCGGAGCGACACGCTATCCGCCCGCAGGGGCCGCCGCGTGTCGCTGGGGCCGCCGCCGCGACACGCTGCGCAGAAGTTCCTGACCGCAACGTGTGTTGGCACGTCCGGGGCCTCCAAAAGTGCGCCTCTGTCGCCGTGGCCCAGGGTCCGTCCGATCTGGCTCATGGCCGGGGCCGTGCCCCGGCCGCCAGGCTCCAGACGTTGCGAGCGTAGCCTCCCAGGAACGTGCCCAACCCAGCCGATGCGCACGCGCAGCACCATGGATCCAGGCCTCTCAGAGGGGGCCCGAGCACGGGGTCGGAGGATCGCGCCGCATCGGCGACGCATCGGCGATGCGGCGCGATCTTCTCACCCAATCTGGGAGGACCCCATCCAGGAGGCCTCCGATTCCGATCGAGGGCAGCGCAATTTGCCCGTGAAGTTATGCCGACGGCGAGTCACCGCCGCCCCCTGCCTTCTGGAAATGCCTGTGTTGCGGCCGCGCCAGTGACTTGTATCTTCCCCCAGCCGTTGTGGACCCACTGGAGCATGAGGCAGGGGCCCTCCAGGATCGTCTTGGCGTTGTCTTGGGACACTTTTCGAGCTTTTCGGGCCGTCTGGTGAGTCCTGGGGCCAGCTCATGCCATCGTGGGGCTCTCTTAGACAGTCTTCTGGCGCTCTTGGGCCGTGTGGCACCTCCGGAGGTCATCCCGTGGGCCTCTCTACGCTTCTTTGGGGCCCTGTGGGGCCGTCGTGGGGCTCTCTTGGGCCGTATTGGGGTCATCTTGGTGTTTTTCTTGGCCCTTCTTGAAGTCATTTGGGGCCGTCTTGAAGCCACATTGGCGTCCTCTGAGGCCGTCTTGGGCTGTCGGCAGCCCGAAAAGGCCAGATAAGCATTTGCTGAACAGCAGATGTTGTCAGAGGCTTCAAGCATAGTAAAGAAGGCTGCTCTGGTTTCAAGTATGCGGCAAATGTGCCGCCCGCGTGCCGTGTCGTGCCCGCCTCTGCGAAACAATGTGCCGCCCGCTTGCCGTGCCGTGCCCACGTCCTGGGAGAGGAAGACTGTGCCACCCGCGCCACGTGGCGTGCCGTGCCGTGCCCGCGCGCAGCGCCGTGCCCGCGCCCCGGAAGACGGACCATGGCGTGCAGCCCAAGCGGCGTGGCATGTCGTGCCCCCCGTGCCCGCCGTGCCCTGCCCGCGCGCCGTTCCGCACCCGCGCTTCAGCACGGGCAGCAGTCTGCCGACAGCGTGCCGTGCCGTGCCACGCGTGCCGTGCCGTGCCCCGCGTGCCCCAGAGTGCGACCACGTTGCCGCCCGCTCGCCGGGCCGGGCCGGGCCCGCACCGTGCGCGTGCCGTGCCGGGCCCACGGCTCGCCGTGCCGCGCCGTGCTTCGACGAGACGCAAGAGCGACCCTTCGCGCCGGAGGGGCCTTTTTGGTGCGGGCCCAACTTGGTCCCCGGATCGCCGGACGCGAGGCAGCAGCAGCGTTCCATGCGGTTGTGCGTTTGGTCCCCCAGCGGCCCCCCAAAAGCCGCGCACCAAAGGTCACTCTTACCCAGGGTCACGCCTGCGTGCAGCCGACCGTGCCCGCGAGCCGCGCCCGCGTGCCAGGATGCGACAAGGAAGCCTTCTTGCCGCCCTCATGCCGTCCCGTGCTCTCGCAACTCGCGCATCTCAATGTTGACTCACCTGGCGCCTTCTCATACAACCTTGGTGATTGAGTTCTCGATGCTGGTTTCTTTGGAGTTACGTCAGTGCCCCGTGCCTCCAGAGGCTCTCGTGGGGATCCTCGTGGCGCCCTCCTGGAGCGTCGTGGGGGGCTCTGAGGCCCTCTGACGGGCATCTTCGGCTCTCTGGGAGCCATCGTGTGCCTTCTTGAAGCCTGCTTGTCAGTTTCGGGCCGATGTGGAGCTGCCTTGGGCTCTCTTGGGGGCCGTCTTGGAGGGCCCTCTTGGAGCTGCTCTGGGCTGATGGCGGCGGGGCGGGGCGATCTGCCGAAGGGCCAGCGGGAACCTTTTCAAAGGGCCAGGAAGTGTTTAAGCCTTGGCACGCGAAGCACCCCCGTGGCAAGCAGCATAGGGCGGCGGATACAATGGAGGCCCATGCCAAGAGACACCCTCCTTGCCTCCAGGGTGCCCTGGGTTTCTTGGATTCGAGGGCGTTGCTGGGGAAAGCGTGACGCTACCACACCAAAAGTCAAGGGATGTCCTGGGGTCTCAGGCTTGGGTTTCTTGTGGAAGTTTTGTGGTCGGGCCTCCACTGTGTGTTTATGCGAGCAGAAGTGCTCTGATTCAGAAGCCGCGGATCCACTTGCCCCACAGGGAGCGGACCCCGAGCGCGACCCGCGACCCGTCCAAAGGGGAGGCGCCCCCCCACCCCTCCCCGATCCTCGATTATCCTTGATCCTCGATTATCCTCCTCCTCCTCCTCCTCCTCCTCCTCCTCCTCCTTGATCCTCCGCTGTATGCCAAAAAGCTGCCTGCACACGACGCGGCCGGGCTTGGGCGAGAGCTGGAACGACGCGCGTGCACATGGCCAGACTTTGCTCCAGCGCTCGTGGCCCTCCTGTGGCCTGGCTTCCGCACGGCCCCCGCATGCGTGTGTATCCAGCGTGCGGCCTCCGGGTGCTCCACGCGTGAGTCCAGCCACGTGTGAACCCAGCGTCCTGGTAGTGACCTCCTCCTCCTCCTCCTCCGCCTCCTCCTCCACCTCCTCTTCCCCTTCCTGTCCCCCCTCCTCGTCCTCCTCCTCCTCCTCCTCCTCCTGCTCCTCCTCCTCCTCCTGTGCTGTGCTAACGGCTGTGGTTCGTTGTGCACGTGCAGCCATCGGTCCTGCCCCTCCACCTCGGCCGAGGGCCCGAGGTGGAGGGGGGGTTCATTAGGGAAAATGTGAAAAGAAAGAGCTGTAGCCTAGAGAGAAGCAGCAGAAACACACAGAAGGGGAGGGAGGGGGGAAGTGGCAGACGTCAGTGGCAGGCAGAGATGGGGACAAGGGCGATGCTGAAGAATGCGGTGCAAACTAGTGCCTACAAAAGCCGCCGGGGAGTAGCCGCAGTGGTTCGCTCTTGGGGGTAAGGGGCTGAGTGCCGCGGTGGCTGCTCTTGAAGGAGGTGGGGTGCTGCAGTTAACTTGCTCTTTTGGAGTGGGGTGACCTCCCAGGCGGCACTGCTGAAACGGTCATGGCATGGCGCGCAGCTGTGGGCACACATCAGGGGATGAGAGGAGGAGAGGTCATAACGAAGGAGGGGGGGGTGCGATGGGTGCAAAGCACTAGGCGCTGGCATGGCACACAGCTGTAGGCACACATTAGGGATGAGAGGGAAGGAGGTAATAACGAAGGAGTGGGGGTGTGCGGTGGGTGCAAAGCCCTAGGCGCTGGTGGGTGGGCGGGCACGGCGCAGTGAGTATATCTCTTGCCCCCTCCCCGACCTTACGTAAACCACCCACCCCATCCGCCCCGACCACAAAAGGGTGGGGAGGTGAAGGTTAGCAGGACGAGGCACGGAGGACCAGGGAGGTGGAGAAGGTTGGAAGAGGGCGGTAGTTTCAGTTCTGGCAATGGAGGTCGGAGGCGCAATCGGTGGAGACGGCGCACCATGTGTTCGTGCTGCCGCAGGTGGGGGCGATGCGGAAGATGAGGGTCAGGGTACGATCGGAGATGGAGAACGGTTGGGGCGTAGGTCGGAGGTCGGGAAGGCGTGTTTGTATGCTGTGACGGCGTCAGGCGCGTGGGCACCTCGTGCGGTCGTCCGGTGTTTGGTGGGTGATGGCGAGGATGGCGATCGCCGTAGCTTAGAGGCGTAGGTTGTTGACGGACTCGTTGAGGCTGTCGATGGGCTTGGATCTGGATTCCTGGGCCAGGGTGGTCTCCCTCTGGATGTTGAGGGCCTGTTTGGAGCTGGCGTGTCGTTTGCCTACCATTGTGGCGAGGACGTCGAGCTTCTCCTGGATGTCGTTGTGCTGGGACCGGTACTCGGTGATGATGTCTGGTTTCAGAGCTTGTTTGGTGCTCCGCGTAGTACTGGTCTGAGTGATGGTGCCCCGTGCCCATAGGTCATTGTTGCTGTTGTAGGACACGTTGAAGATGGTGACCTCGTCGCCCTCGTTCGCCGTGATTGTGCCGTGTTCGATGGAGTCCGCCAGCTTAGTGTAGAACGAGTGGCCCGTGGTTGCTCCCAT